AAATTAGATGAAGAAGAACTCGAAGATACAGTGGAGAATGCTAAACCTTTGTTCGAAGAAGAAGTTGGAAAAATGTGTGAAAAACAATTAGAACATGAACGTGAGATATATTATGGTTATAGAGATTCTCCATACGAACTAGACCAATGGGAACAAGAAGATTTAAAGAGAGAATTTAGAGAATATGAACTCGCTAAGATAGCATTTGAAGCTGCAGAAAAGAAGTTAAAAGTTTGGGGTCGTTTTGTAAAAAAATATTGTGAGTAAATGAACCATTTATTTTTATTGAATTCAGTAAAAATATAATTTATGTTAGAATGTTAGATCTAACACGTTTCTAACACGTTTTCTAACCTCATGAATTTTCATGAATTTCCTTAAGACAGAAAAAATAAAGTTAGTTTTATTTTTATTTATTTTTTTATTTTGTATGTAAGAACAGAAATGACAAACATTGAGTTTGAAACAGTTAGAAAGATAGACAATGACACCAAAGTGGTTAGAATAGGTGATTTAAACGTAAGATACTCAAAGAAATACAACAAATATTTTTGTCAGACATTATATCTCCATCTGGAAAGAAAACAAACGACTGGGTTAGAAATGCTTCAACTCAGAAAATTTTGACAAGAAATCCTGAGCTTATGATATCGGTAAGATTCTATGGAACTGCAGCATATCTCATCGACAAAAGTCTTATACCAATAGTTTGTTATGGTTAGACCCAGTTGTTGGATATAACTTCATAACATATGGTTCATTCGATACGGAACGTTGCAGTGAAGGCTTACTTTACATCGTTCAGAAACCGAAGGGACTTCAATACAAAAAGATATAAGATAGGAAGAACATATAATATAACTCTAAGATATGACAGTACAGTCAATATAGTCAAGGTTGTGTTTGTTAATGATATGAGAGCTGCAGAAACAGAACTACTTGAAAAGTTTGAGAAAATGTATGGTGCTCCATAAAAGGTAAAGAAACGTTTGAAGTAGATGAGATAGATAAAGCTATAAAATTATTTGACGAAGTTGCTGAAAAATACATGTAAAGCGTTTATTTTTGGTCTTTTGTGAAAGTCAGAAAATAAAGTTAGTTTTATTTTTTTATTTTGTATGTAAGATATGATTTCAGGGATTTTTTGACGAAGTGTCAATGTTCACTTCGTCAAAAAATAACAGTTATCTAATGAAAAAGTGTCATTTTATTTTTTTATTTTGTATGTAAGATATGATTTCAGGGATTTTTTTTGACGAAGTGTCAATGTTCACTTCGTCAAAAAATAACAGTTATCTAATGAAAAGTGTCAAGACTTCTTCGTATATGTTTTGTCATGACTTCATCGTTCATGTTTTGTCAAACATGAACGTACATGTTTTGTCAGACTTCTTCATCGTAATGAGTGTAAAGGACCCAAAAATAAAGTTTAGTGAAGAAGTGAGATCTCACCTGTTTTTTCACCTCTTTTTCACCTCTTGAATTTTCATGAATTTTCCCGAAATAAAAATAAAGTAGTTTTTATTTTTTTTATTTTTTTTATTTTGTATAAAAAAATAAAAATTCAACAATCGCACAACAGCAATACAAACAACTACAGCACCAAACTCGTTAGTCATGAATCCAACATCTATGTTAGTAAGATGAAAAGCTTCATTCCTTCTTCATATACTTTATCGAAAACAAAAATCCAGAAGATAAAGCAAGAACTTTTAACAAGTAATTTAACTGTAGTGCGAAAGATGAAACAAATGAACAGTATCTTTATGAAATGGAGGACATTATTGACCATTTGCCTAAACTACCTGAAATTCAGCAACAAAAACTCACTATTCCTGATATTCGATGAAATAGAAGTCAAAGCAACTGACTCAGTAGAAATAAAGAAGTTCATACGAAAGGTAAACTATGAGTTTCTAGGATTTCATTGCAACCATAAGGTTATGGACAAAGATTGCGACATGGTATATAAGAATGTTTCTGATATATATAAATCTGAAGAATTTAAGACCTACGACAACCTTGTTTCGTTAGTTGCTGAATGTGTATGGCAGATAAGAGATGAAGATAGAAGAGGTAAAGTATGGAACAAACAAATAAGACCCGCTATGTTTGAGTTAAAGAAAACCATTGACGCTTTTAGTTGTTTTAGCAGGTAAGGTTTCAGAATTATAACGCAAAAATGAACCGCAATGTTCTTAAATGTAAAGCAGCAATGAGGATATAACTACTCCGTCAAAGAGATAGAACGTATGAGAAAACGACTATGCAGACTTAAGAAAGAAGCAGAAAAGCGCAGCAGAAGATAAAATGGACATGTTAGAATTTCTGAACAAAAACTATCCAACTGCTGACGATTTCCTATTATCTGACGTCAAGAAGAAGTATAAAGAAACCTTCGGCATAGTTAAAACATTCGATGTACTAAAAGAAGAAATAGAGGCTACGAAACTGTTTAAGATTTCAAATATACATCGTACAATTCATGTAAAACGCTTGTGAAAAATTAGGTGAAAAAACAGGTGAGATCGCACCACTTCACCTAAACTTTATTTTTGCTGAAAAATGACCAAATTTCATGAATTTCCTTAAGACAGAAAAAATAAAGTTAGTTTTATTTTTATTTATTTTTTTATTTTGTATGTAAGAACAGAAATGTCAGTCGAAGCAAAAACGTTCACGAACAAATCTAATGGCGAAACATTCACAAAAGGTACTTATAACGGTATTGAAGTCTTACGTAGAGACAAGGATAGTTACATTAATGCAACAAATATGTGTCAGCAGTTTAGGAAAGACTTTAGAAAGTTGTTGGAAAATAAGTCCTGGGAAGAGTATTATAAGGCATTTTGTGAAGAATATAGCAACCGCCGGAATTCAGACGGTTGCTTTTTATACAAAATTCATGCCGGAATTCCTGATGAAATCAAACAGGTTAGAGGAACGTATGTAGACCCAAGACTTATAAACTATATAGCAATGTGGGCTTCTCCAAAATATTGCATAGCAGTTGGAAAAATTATGGACTCCATAGACAAGAAAGTTCATGAGAAATTAGATGAAGAAGAACTCGAAGATACAGTGGAGAATGCTAAACCTTTGTTCGAAGAAGAAGTTGGAAAAATGTGTGAAAAACAATTAGAACATGAACGTGAGATATATTATGGTTATAGAGATTCTCCATACGAACTAGACCAATGGGAACAAGAAGATTTAAAGAGAGAATTTAGAGAATATGAACTCGCTAAGATAGCATTTGAAGCTGCAGAAAAGAAGTTAAAAGTTTGGGGTCGTTTTGTAAAAAAATATTGTGAGTAAATGAACCATTTATTTTTATTGAATTCAGTAAAAATATAATTTATGTTAGAATGTTAGATCTAACACGTTTTCTAACACGTTTTCTAACCTCATGAATTTTCATGAATTTCCTTAAGACAGAAAAAATAAAGTTAGTTTTATTTTTATTTATTTTTTTTTTTTGTATGTAAGAACAGAAATGACAAACATTGAGTTTGAAACAGTTAGAAAGATAGACAATGACACCAAAGTGGTTAGAATAGGTGATTTAAACGTAAGATACTCAAAGAAATACAACAAATATTCTTTGTCAGACATTATATCTCCATCTGGAAAGAAAACAAACGACTGGGTTAGAAATGCTTCAACTCAGAAAATTTTGACAAGAAATCCTGAGCTTATGATATCGGTAAGATTCTATGGAACTGCAGCATATCTCATCGACAAAAGTCTTATACCAATAGTTTTGTTATGGTTAGACCCAGTTGTTGGATATAACTTCATAACATATGGTTCATTCGATACGGAACGTTGCAGTGAAGGCTTACTTTACATCGTTCAGAAACCGAAGGACTTCAATACAAAAAGATATAAGATAGGAAGAACATATAATATAACTCTAAGATATGACAGTACAGTCAATATAGTCAAGGTTGTGTTTGTTAATGATATGAGAGCTGCAGAAACAGAACTACTTGAAAAGTTTGAGAAAATGTATGGTGCTCCCATAAAAGGTAAAGAAACGTTTGAAGTAGATGAGATAGATAAAGCTATAAAATTATTTGACGAAGTTGCTGAAAAATACATGTAAAGCGTTTATTTTTGGTCTTTTGTGAAAGTCAGAAAATAAAGTTAGTTTTATTTTTTTATTTTGTATGTAAGATATGATTTCAGGGATTTTTTTGACGAAGTGTCAATGTTCACTTCGTCAAAAAATAACAGTTATCTAATGAAAAAGTGTCATTTTATTTTTTTATTTTGTATGTAAGATATGATTTCAGGGATTTTTTTGACGAAGTGTCAATGTTCACTTCGTCAAAAAATAACAGTTATCTAATGAAAAAGTGTCAAGACTTCTTCGTATATGTTTTGTCATGACTTCATCGTTCATGTTTTGTCAAACATGAACGTACATGTTTTGTCAAGACTTCTTCATCGTAATGAGTGTAAAGGACCCAAAAATAAAGTTTAGGTGAAGAAGTGAGATCTCACCTGTTTTTTCACCTCTTTTTTCACCTCTTGAATTTTCATGAATTTTCCCGAAATAAAAAATAAAGTTAGTTTTATTTTTTTTATTTTTTTTATTTTGTATAAAAAATAAAAATGTCAACAATCGGCACAACAGCAATACAAACAACTACAGCACCAAACTCGTTAGTCATGAATCCAACATCTATGTTAGTAGAGATGAAAAGCTTCATTCCTTCTTCATATACTTTCGAAACAAAAATCCAGAAGATAAAGCAAGAACTTTTAACAAGTAATTAGACTGTAGTGCGAAAGATGAAACAAATGAACAGTATCTTTATGAAATGGAGGACATTATTGACCATTTGCCTAAACTACCTGAAATTCAGCAACAAAAACTCACTATTCCTGAATTCGATGAAATAGAAGTCAAAGCAACTGACTCAGTAGAAATAAAGAAGTTCATACGAAAGGTAAACTATGAGTTTCTAGGATTTCATTGCAACCATAAGGTTATGGACAAAGATTGCGACATGGTATATAAGAATGTTTCTGACATATATAAATCTGAAGAATTTAAGACCTACGACAACCTTGTTTCGTTAGTTGCTGAATGTGTATGGCAGATAAGAGATGAAGATAGAAGAGGTAAAGTATGGAACAAACAAATAAGACCCGCTATGTTTGAGTTAAAGAAAACCATTGACGCTTTAGTTGTTTTAGCAGGTAAGGTTTCAGAATATAACGCAAAAATGAACCCGCAATGTTCTAAATGTAAAGCAGCAATGAGGAGATATAACTACTCCGTCAAAGAGATAGAACGTATGAGAAACGACTATGCAGACTTAAAGAAAGAAGCAGAAAAGCCAGCAGAAGATAAAATGGACATGTTAGAATTTCTGAACAAAAACTATCCAACTGCTGACGATTTCCTATTATCTGACGTCAAGAAGAAGTATAAAGAAACCTTCGGCATAGTTAAAACATTCGATGTACTAAAAGAAGAAATAGAGGCTACGAAACTGTTTAAGATTTCAAATATACATCGTACAATTCATGTAAAACGCTTGTGAAAAATTAGGTGAAAAAACAGGTGAGATCGCACCACTTCACCTAAACTTTATTTTTGCTGAAAATGACCAAATTTCATGAATTTCCTTAAGACAGAAAAAATAAAGTTAGTTTTATTTTATTTATTTTTTTATTTTGTATGTAAGAACAGAAATGTCAGTCGAAGCAAAAACGTTCACGAACAAATCTAATGGCGAAACATTCACAAAAGGTACTTATAACGGTATTGAAGTCTTACGTAGAGACAAGGATAGTTACATTAATGCAACAAATATGTGTCAGCAGTTTAGGAAAGACTTTAGAAAGTTGTTGGAAAATAAGTCCTGGGAAGAGTATTATAAGGCATTTTGTGAAGAATATAGCAACCGCCGGAATTCAGACGGTTGCTTTTTATACAAAATTCATGCCGGAATTCCTGATGAAATCAAACAGGTTAGAGGAACGTATGTAGACCCAAGACTTATAAACTATATAGCAATGTGGGCTTCTCCAAAATATTGCATAGCAGTTGGAAAAATTATGGACTCCATAGACAAGAAAGTTCATGAGAAATTAGATGAAGAAGAACTCGAAGATACAGTGGAGAATGCTAAACCTTTGTTCGAAGAAGAAGTTGGAAAATGTGTGAAAAACAATTAGAACATGAACGTGAGATATATTATGGTTATAGAGATTCTCCATACGAACTAGACCAATGGGAACAAGAAGATTTAAAGAGAGAATTTAGAGAATATGAACTCGCTAAGATAGCATTTGAAGCTGCAGAAAAGAAGTTAAAAGTTTGGGGTCGTTTTGTAAAAACATATTGTGAGTAAATGAACCATTTATTTTTATTGAATTCAGTAAAAAATATAATTTATGTTAGAATGTTAGATCTAACACGTTTTCTAACACGTTTTCTAACCTCATGAATTTTCATGAATTTCCTTAAGACAGAAAAAATAAAGTTAGTTTTATTTTTATTTATTTTTTTATTTTGTATGTAAGAACAGAAATGACAAACATTGAGTTTGAAACAGTTAGAAAGATAGACAATGACACCAAAGTGGTTAGAATAGGTGATTTAAACGTAAGATACTCAAAGAAATACAACAAATATTCTTTGTCAGACATTATATCTCCATCTGGAAAGAAAACAAACGACTGGGTTAGAAATGCTTCAACTCAGAAAATTTTGACAAGAAATCCTGAGCTTATGATATCGGTAAGATTCTATGGAACTGCAGCATATCTCATCGACAAAAGTCTTATACCAATAGTTTTGTTATGGTTAGACCCAGTTGTTGGATATAACTTCATAACATATGGTTCATTCGATACGGAACGTTGCAGTGAAGGCTTACTTTACATCGTTCAGAAACCGAAGGACTTCAATACAAAAAGATATAAGATAGGAAGAACATATAATAACTCTAAGATATGACAGTACAGTCAATATAGTCAAGGTTGTGTTTGTTAATGATATGAGAGCTGCAGAAACAGAACTACTTGAAAAGTTTGAGAAAATGTATGGTGCTCCATAAAAGGTAAAGAAACGTTTGAAGTAGATGAGATAGATAAAGCTATAAAATTATTTGACGAAGTTGCTGAAAAATACATGTAAAGCGTTTATTTTTGGTCTTTTGTGAAAGTCAGAAAATAAAGTTAGTTTTATTTTTTTATTTTGTATGTAAGATATGATTTCAGGGATTTTTTTGACGAAGTGTCAATGTTCACTTCGTCAAAAATAACAGTTATCTAATGAAAAAGTGTCATTTTATTTTTTTATTTTGTATGTAAGATATGATTTCAGGGATTTTTTTGACGAAGTGTCAATGTTCACTTCGTCAAAAAATAACAGTTATCTAATGAAAAAGTGTCAAGACTTCTTCGTATATGTTTTGTCATGACTTCATCGTTCATGTTTTGTCAAACATGAACGTACATGTTTTGTCAAGACTTCTTCATCGTAATGAGTGTAAAGGACCCAAAAATAAAGTTTAGGTGAAGAAGTGAGATCTCACCTGTTTTTTCACCTCTTTTTTCACCTCTTGAATTTTCATGAATTTTCCCGAAATAAAAAATAAAGTTAGTTTTATTTTTTTTATTTTTTTTATTTTGTATAAAAAAATAAAAATGTCAACAATCGGCACAACAGCAATACAAACAACTACAGCACCAAACTCGTTAGTCATGAATCCAACATCTATGTTAGTAGAGATGAAAAGCTTCATTCCTTCTTCATATACTTTCGAAACAAAAATCCAGAAGATAAAGCAAGAACTTTTAACAAGTAATTTAGACTGTAGTGCGAAAGATGAAACAATGAACAGTAATCTTTATGAAATGGAGGACATTATTGACCATTTGCCTAAACTACCTGAAATTCAGCAACAAAAACTCACTATTCCTGAATTCGATGAAATAGAAGTCAAAGCAACTGACTCAGTAGAAATAAAGAAGTTCATACGAAAGGTAAACTATGAGTTTCTAGGATTTCATTGCAACCATAAGGTTATGGACAAAGATTGCGACATGGTATATAAGAATGTTTCTGACATATATAAATCTGAAGAATTTAAGACCTACGACAACCTTGTTTCGTTAGTTGCTGAATGTGTATGGCAGATAAGAGATGAAGATAGAAGAGGTAAAGTATGGAACAAACAAATAAGACCCGCTATGTTTGAGTTAAAGAAAACCATTGACGCTTTAGTTGTTTTAGCAGGTAAGGTTTCAGAATATAACGCAAAAATGAACCCGCAATGTTCTAAATGTAAAGCAGCAATGAGGAGATATAACTACTCCGTCAAAGAGATAGAACGTATGAGAAACGACTATGCAGACTTAAAGAAAGAAGCAGAAAAGCCAGCAGAAGATAAAATGGACATGTTAGAATTTCTGAACAAAAACTATCCAACTGCTGACGATTTCCTATTATCTGACGTCAAGAAGAAGTATAAAGAAACCTTCGGCATAGTTAAAACATTCGATGTACTAAAAGAAGAAATAGAGGCTACGAAACTGTTTAAGATTTCAAATATACATCGTACAATTCATGTAAAACGCTTGTGAAAAATTAGGTGAAAAAACAGGTGAGATCGCACCACTTCACCTAAACTTTATTTTTGCTGAAAAATGACCAAATTTCATGAATTTCCTTAAGACAGAAAAAATAAAGTTAGTTTTATTTTTATTTATTTTTTTATTTTGTATGTAAGAACAGAAATGTCAGTCGAAGCAAAAACGTTCACGAACAAATCTAATGGCGAAACATTCACAAAAGGTACTTATAACGGTATTGAAGTCTTACGTAGAGACAAGGATAGTTACATTAATGCAACAAATATGTGTCAGCAGTTTAGGAAAGACTTTAGAAAGTTGTTGGAAAATAAGTCCTGGGAAGAGTATTATAAGGCATTTTGTGAAGAATATAGCAACCGCCGGAATTCAGACGGTTGCTTTTTATACAAAATTCATGCCGGAATTCCTGATGAAATCAAACAGGTTAGAGGAACGTATGTAGACCCAAGACTTATAAACTATATAGCAATGTGGGCTTCTCCAAATATTGCATAGCAGTTGGAAAAATTATGGACTCCATAGACAAGAAAGTTCATGAGAAATTAGTGATGAAGAAGAACTCGAAGATACAGTGGAGAATGCTAAACCTTTGTTCGAAGAAGAAGTTGGAAAAATGTGTGAAAACAATTAGAACATGAACGTGAGATATATTATGGTTATAGAGATTCTCCATACGAACTAGACCAATGGGAACAAGAAGATTTAAAGAGAGAATTTAGAGAATATGAACTCGCTAAGATAGCATTTGAAGCTGCAGAAAAGAAGTTAAAATTGGGGTCGTTTTGTAAAAAAATATTGTGAGTAAAATGAACCATTTATTTTTATTGAATTCAGTAAAAATATAATTTATGTAGAATGTTAGATCTAACACGTTTTCTAACACGTTTTCTAACCTCATGAATTTTCATGAATTTCCTTAAGACAGAAAAAATAAAGTTAGTTTTATTTTTATTTATTTTTTTATTTTGTATGTAAGAACAGAAATGACAAACATTGAGTTTTGAAACAGTTAGAAAGATAGACAATGACACCAAAGTGGTTAGAATAGTGATTTAAACGTAAGATACTCAAAGAAATACAACAAATATTCTTTGTCAGACATTATATCTCCATCTGGAAAGAAAACAAACGACTGGTTAGAAATGCTTCAACTCAGAAAATTTTGACAAGAAATCCTGAGCTTATGATATCGGTAAGATTCTATGGAAACTGCAGCATATCTCATCGACAAAAGTCTTATACCAATAGTTTTGTTATGGTTAGACCCAGTTGTTGGATATAACTTCATAACATATGGTTCATTCGATACGGAACGTTGCAGTGAAGGCTTACTTTACATCGTTCAGAAACCGAAGGACTTCAATACAAAAGATATAAGATAGGAAGAACATATAATATAACTCTAAGATATGACAGTACAGTCAATATAGTCAAGGTTGTGTTTGTTAATGATATGAGAGCTGCAGAAACAGAACTACTTGAAAAGTTTGAGAAAATGTATGGTGCTCCCACAAAAGGTAAAGAAACGTTTGAAGTAGATGAGATAGATAAAGCTATAAAATTATTTGACGAAGTTGCTGAAAAATACATGTAAAGCGTTTATTTTTGGTCTTTTGTGAAAGTCAGAAAATAAAGTTAGTTTTATTTTTTATTTTGTATGTAAGATATGATTTCAGGGATTTTTTTGACGAAGTGTCAATGTTCACTTCGTCAAAAATAACAGTTATCTAATGAAAAAGTGTCATTTTATTTTTTTATTTTGTATGTAAGATATGATTTCAGGGATTTTTTTGACAAGTGTCAATTTCACTTCGTGTCATAATGTAAAAATAACGCTTACCATGTAAAACGGTTGTGAAAAAAACAGGTTAGAAAGGAGGTTAGATCTAACCTTCTACCCTAAAATATATTTGTGCTGAATTCAGCAAAAATAATGTTTAGGTGAAGTGGTGCGATCTCACCTGTTTTTTCACCTGTTTTCTCACAAGCGTTTATTTTTGGTCTTTTGTGAAAGTCAGAAAATAAAGTTAGTTTTATTTGTATTTTTTTGTATGTAAATATGATTTCAGGATTTTTTGACGAAGTGTCAATGTTCACTTCGTCAAAAAATAACAGTTATCTAATGAAAAAGTGTCATTTTATTTTTTTATTTTGTATGTAAGATATGATTTCAGGGATTTTTTTGACGAAGTGTCAATGTTCACTTCGTGTCATAATGTAAAAATAACGCTTACCATGTAAAACGCTTGTGAGAAAACAGGTGAAAAAACAGGTGAGATCGCACCACTTCACCTAAACATTATTTTTGTCTGATTTACGCTCATTACGATGAAGAAGTCTTGACAAAACATTTACGCTCATTACGAAGAAGTTTTGACAAAACATTTACGAAGAAGTCTTGACAAAACATTTACGCTCATTACGATGAAGAAGTCTTGACAAAGCATGTACGACGAAGTCATGACAAAACATTTACGAAGAAGTTTTGACAAAACATGTACGTTCATGTTTGACAAAACATTTACGATGAAGTCTTGACAAAACATATACGTTCATGTTTGACAAAACATATACGTTCATGTTTGACAAAACATTTACGAAGAAGTCTTGACAAAACATTTACGATGAAATCATGAAAATTCACGAGGGTAGAAAACGTGTTAGATCTAACCTTCTACCCTAAAATATATTTTTGCTGAAAAATGACCAAAAATCTGAGTAAAATGGCATAAGATTGCTTCCCTCGGAAAAACCGAGAGAAGAGATTCCGTACGAAAACAGTGAAGAACAGCGAGTAGGTAAAAAACCTTAGTCGCCAAAACTCTACGAAAACAGTGAAATTTCTCTAGACCGACTTTTTTCGGGGTCGCCTAAAACTCATGAAAATCATGAATTTCCTTAAGATAGAAAAAATAACGCTAATTTTTTTATAAAATATTTTTTTATTTTGTATGTAAAGACAGATATGTCAACAACAGAGAACACAACAACAGTTATAGTCCATGAAGCCATAAATGAAGAATACGAGTACATACAGTTTAACAAACAACTCCGTCTCATTCGTTCGGTCAAAGACGATATGTACCAAATGCAAAGTATTTTGACAGCATGTTTTGCTCCAGATACCAAAACATACAGACGATTGGTTCAAAAACCAAAGCACACAAGAACTTTTGAGCGAAGCACAGCGAGACGACTTTTTCGGGTCGCCTAAAACTCATAAAATCGTAAAAATTTGCCAAATGGTTTGAGAGGTTGGTATGTACATAGACTTCTTGTAAATGCTGTTGCAATGTGGGCTTCGCCCCGTTATGCTTGGAATATTTACAGACTTCTTGACGAAATTCATAGACAAGAACGTGAAGAGATGGAAAAGAAACTTCAAGCAAAAGAGAAGTCATTGAAGCAAAAGACAAAAGCATTCAGAAAAGAATACCACGTTCAGTACCAAAAGGAAAGGAAAAGAACTATAAGTATATGATTTATACTGAAGAGTTGGAGAAAGAAGAAGATAAAGATATGGTTATGTTGCATTTAGTCAGAAGAAACAACAAAAGCTTTTACGACCTTGCTAAGATTTACAAATCTGACAGAAATTGGTTCTATCGCGAAAACTTACCGATTTCAATGACACCGAATGAAGATGTGAAACAAATAGTTCAAGATACGTTACCTCAAACACACTATGATATGAAAGGTTGTACAATACTTACATTCAAAGAAGACTTACCGCTACTGAAAGAAAAAATAACAGAGTATTTTGACAACTTCAAACAAGTAGAGTAAATGAACTCTTTATTTTTCAAGCTTGACTTTTTACAATTTAACTTTGTTTGCGTAGATATGAATTCTGAAAGAAGTATGAGGGTCTTGTATGACTTTGTACTTCTCCCATAGTTCATATCTGTCAAACTTACCTGCCATGGACTCTTTCATAAGTTCCATGAAATCGTCTTCGGACAATCCGGGGAAAAGTACAATGTCAGTAAGTATTCTCTTTACATCCTTACTTAAACTCTTGCTGTCTGTACACAAATGACGACTGAGATGTTAAAGTGTCTGAGTCTTAAGAATTCGACACATATCTTGTTCTCTATTCTTAAGCCAAAGGATGAGAAGCAAAGTCATCTAAGATAAGAAGACATCTATGAGGGTAAGTCTTCCAATCGTAAGATTGCAATTTCTTCGAAATGTATTCTATCTCTTTCTGTTTGTTTCTGAAGTGTTTCTTCTCTAATATTTCTCTGCATTTCCTCATTTGGGTCTTTAAACTTAAATTTATATACTCATTTATAGCATTATACTTCAAAAACTCTTCTTTGGTACTTCTTTATCCAATCTAACAACTCAGTATCCTTTATACATACTAACTTAGACTTCTTTATAATATCTTTGAACGAATTGACGTTTGGTCAAATTGACCAGAAGTACTACAAATGACTACTAACTCATAGAATGGGTTCTTCTCATCTAGTTCTTGTTGTTGTGCAGCCATTTTAAGATAAGTGAAAGTCTTACCCGACCAGGTGGTGCAATTAGACCTGTTATACCATTCTGAGCAAATAAGAACTTGTCATGTATAGGCTTTATCTGAGCATTTTCTAACTTCCTCTTGTTCTTGTTTAAAACATTCTCAATTTTTTGTCAATGTCAGCAAACTTTTTTTCTAACATATTTTTAGAAAAATTAAAATTTTTATCTTTTAGAAAATGTCTAGCGATTTCGCTATCTATATTCGAGACAAGCTTTTCGACAGCAAAACATCTGTCGACCAAAATCTTACATAGTGTAAACAAGAAAGGGGAATTTGTTCTAAAGTTCTGTTTCTGGGAATATGACAAGAACCATAAAACATTAAGCAGAGAAGTCTTAAAATTTGTCAATGACAGACTTGTTGACAGAGATGACGCCTCTTGGAAAGATAAGTCCAACAAAAGTTCTTAGAATGCAAAGAAGACACATGCGCTGTTCTTGAAGATGAAAATAGAAAACAGAATAGAAGAGCTATTAAAGGACAAAGAACTTACATAAATATAGTTGCGCCAAATTTGACATAACTCCACCAGAAAAGAAGAGAAGAAAGAAAAGAAAAAAAGAAAGTAGAAGAAGAGAAGAAAGAACCTGAACCAGTTCCAGAGAAAAAGAAATTTGACATGTAAAAATAAAATTTTATTTTTAGAACATTTCTGGGTCAATGTCAATGTTCTCTTCCTCTTTAGGAGCAAACACTGGCTTAGACTCTAAAATCTTTTTACCAATTTACCTTGAACTTCAACTATCTTAGACTCATAATATTCATAGTCGTCTGCTTTCTTTGGTTCATAAGGTATAACAAGTTTGTATGCTTTGCCTTCTTTAAGGTTTGAAAACCTTCTGTAAAACTTCTTTGACTGCTAACAAACCTTCTATGTCTAAGTCTTCAAATTTCGCACCATTTAGTCACAATAGCAAACTTAACTGGTTCGATGTTCCAAACTTTGCTGAATGAAGACTTT